GCCTGGGTGCCTGGATGACAGAGTGAGACTCTGTCTTAAAAAAAAAAAAAAAAGATGCAGCATGTAGAGTTTCTGCATGACAATGAGGTAGCTCGGGAAGGATACTGATGTTTGCTTACTCAGCATCCCTAATCTTTCTCAGTCTCATGAAGATGCATTTGCCAATAGATTCATAAATTAAAAGGTCTCAGTTATATTCCACAGGCATAATGGATAAACACCAAGGGTTTTTAAACAAGGAGTGACTCTATTCAGTTTTTCCCTGTAATCAAAATTTCAGTAGTTCACAGCAACAACGACAAAAATATTTTTTTCTTACTCACAGGTCTGCTGTGCTTCAGCTAACTTCAGCTGGACTTTCCTGAGCCCCATCGAGCTAGGGTAGATTCCAAGCTTTGGGTTAAATTTAGGTTTGCTCCACAAGTCTTCATCTTTCTCCTAGAACCAGGAGTTATGCAACTCCTCAGCACTTGCTATTCTTATGAGAGAGCATGTGAACACTGAAAGATTAGTAGAACACAGGAGCACAGAGACCTCATCTCTAACCACCGCATTGACACTTCACGCATTCTATTGGCCAGCATTGATGAGACTGGGAAGTAACTCCAGCCACAGTGAAACGTAATGTCGATCCCTTGGCACAGGGCAGAGGGGCATAATTCTAATACAGTAAGAGAACGAAGAATTGGAATAAACAGTTCAATCGACTTGAGTGACCTCATTAGATATGTTTCTTAAAAATAGCTGTCAGCTGAAGGGGAGAGGGGTAAAGATGTTAGCAGATGCAAACCTCTTCTAAAACAAGATAAAGAAGGAAGGAAATAGGGGAAGTAGGAAGGGATGAGAGAGGAGAGCTTTGATTGAAAGCTGAAAAGACTAGCAGCCAATGGCAGAATATTATGCAATTTCAAAATAAGCATGGGTCCAATTTAGGGCAATGGGGAGAAAAGAGAACTAAGAGTTATTATTGAATAACTATTATATTCAAATCAATGTGCTAGGCAGTTTGTACTCCCTATTTCATATAATCTTCACAACAACACTTGGAGTAGATATTATTGTGCTTATTCTAAAAAAGAGGAAACAGGCTCCAAGAGTAACTTGCCAAAGATCACCCAACAAATACGTAGCACTGCTGGGAATGTCATATTCCAAAGTCTATTTTGGAAGAAGAGAAGTGAATTGAGAGTCATCTTAGAAATCAAATTGACAGACCCTGTTGGCCTAATTAGATATGGTAGTAAACAGAAAGAGGAAAGTAAGAAAACTCCCAAGCTTCTGCTTGAGCAGTGGAGTAATAGCTGCCCATTAACTGAAATGGGGAAAAAAAAAAAAAAGAGGAAGAGAACCTGTTTTTGAACCGAAGGAGTTAAATTTGTTTTTGACTTATGTTGGTGACAGCTATAGGACATTTATGTGAGATGTCCTACAAATGGTTAGAAATTTGCATCTCAGAGCTCATGAAGAGAAGCCAATCCTGAAGAAATCCCTCCAGAAGTAGAAGCAAAAGCATTACAAGCATGGGAAGTTATATTAGCAAAGATATGACTGTGTCCTATCCAGGTCATTTTCAGGGAATGCCTAGCTATTTAATGTACTGTTGAGACATACACGTGTCTAGTTACATTTATTGGGTACACAATAGCAGAGGAGTGAGAGATTAGGCTGATCTCAATTGGCCTTGGATGCTGGAATAGGACATTTGGACTTTTCTCGAGAAGGAAGCACTACAGGTTTTTATACAAGGGTACATTTAAGGGTCTGGCTTTTAGGAAGACTAATGTAGTAGCAAGATACAAGCTGGACCAAAGGTGGGAGACGATGTAGAAGGCTATTGCATTAGTTTTTGTAAGCACTAACGAGAACCTAAACAGGGTAATGGCAGTAGGAACGGAAATAAAGGAACAGATGGGATCATTGCTTTGGAAGAAATTATTGTGCAGCACAGTAACTATTCTGCATATCATTAAATATGTGTCAAGTTAATTTTGTAACTGCATTTGGCTCTAATGGTTTCCTCTCTTCAGGTATGCAGAACCTTCATAATTTATTGGTCATCTGTTCACATATTTTAATTAAGAGTTATAATCTTCATGAGGGAGAGACTATGACTGTTTTGTTATCTACTATTTCCATGACATTCATCAGAATAGGTATTGATTAAATATGTATTGAATGAGAGGGTGGATGAATACTGCCCTGCACACCTCAGCATACCCATTTCCAAGGTCTCTTCAGTTGTGCTCTCTACCCTGCCCTTGTCTTTCATCCTCCCACCAAATATTTCCCTTCCTCTCACCTCTTTAAGATTGGTCTGGGAGAACTTGCCTTACAGGAGTATACAGACCACTAAGCAGCCTGCATTCAGTGCAATCCTGATGTGATGGTTGTTGTTTTATTTTTTTATTTTCCAATTATTCAACCAAACTCAACTGACCCTCCCTTTACTATTTATAAATATCATCTCAGACATATCCAATAACTTTCCAACCACGTAAAATGTTGAAGACTCAGTTCCAATTTATTTGAAACCTCCAGTTTTATTTTCTTCACCACCTTACCCCTCCCCCAAGTTTAGACTTCCCCCAAAGGACTGGCACTTCTCTCTTTCGATTCTAAATTTTAGGGCATTGGGACAAGAAAGGGAGATTGAAGGGACAATCAAACGTCTTTATACTTACCTATATTTTATCTGCAGTCCTATTGTGGGTTCCCTGATTCTTTGGCTAACACTGACCATCAGCACCCTCTGTGTGTCAGATGGCCACTAATTGCTTCATCAAAAGAGTGTTGTGTAAGTGCTTGGGGGTAACCTGTGGGAACCCCATTGCACAGTTCTCTGGTATGAGACAACTGACTTTGACCCAAATCCAGTCATCAAGCCTCCCTAGGCTTGTCCCCAGTATCTGTTCCTGGGGTGGTCAGCTTTATGGATGGGCTAATGGCAAGACCTCCCTACTAAGCAGTTAACTTCAACCTTAGTGTTTCTCACTTTCTTCCCTTTTTCTCTTTCTTTCTTATTTCATGTCACTGGGGCACTCAGGGAGATTCCTGGGGCCAGAGTGATGATTTAGGTTAACAGAGTTATTTCAACCACTTTTTAACAAAGCCTGGAGAATGTACCCAGCCCCAATATTTTTGTAATTCTCTATAGAATATGAAGGTACCAAATACCTATGAGCCTCCCTTTTGGGTCCTAGCCTCCAATTTTATACATACATAACATCCGGGTATTTGTGAATGCCACTAACTTTCATTCTGCAAATGCTGAGTTGTCATTTACATTTGTAGCTACCACATAATAAACACAGAGTTAAGTGTTACATGAACAAACATTTTATGAGCAGCTGAAATGGGTCAGTCAATGTAAAAGTGAAGTACAAAAGTCTGACCAAGTTCAGACTCTAATGTAAATAATAAGTTGCACTCTAACTTTAAAATAGGGAATATTTAGACCAGGAGCAGTGGCTCAGGCCTATAATCGCAGCACTTTGGGAGGAAGACAAGGCAGGTGAATCACTTGAGGTCAGGAGTTCAAGACCAGCCTGGCCAACATGGTGAAATTCTGTCTCTTAGTAGAGACAAATACAAAAATTAGCCAGGCATGGTGACACTCACCTGTAGTTCCAGCTACTAAGGAGGCTGAGGCATGAGAATTGCTTGAACCCAGGAAGTGGAGGTTGCAGTGAGCTGAGATCACACCACTGCACTTCAGCCTGGGCAACAGAGCAAGACTCCATCTCAAAATATAAAATAAAATAAAACAGAGAACATTTAAACTTTGAAATGGAAACTAGAATGGGGAGCGGAATAACAGGAAAAAAGAAAAAGTAACTTTAAAATGAGGGAGTAGGGAGAATCTCGAAAATGAGAACCGTGCACAGTGACAGAAAGCTTACCCTGTTTAAGATTAAAATCTGAATCCCTGATGCCCAGACTAATCTTTTCTCTGCTCGCAAATCAGCATCATATAGATTTCCATTAATATTTATCTCTTTGAATCGAAGGAAGAGGAAAATCTATGTTGCGTTTTGCCCAGCATTGCTGTTTCCATCGTGAATTTTACCGAAGGCCCCCATCAGGTTGATGAGGTGCCAGCTCCCCTTAATAACTGAAGTATTAGATACACGTCGTAGCATGCAAAGCAGCCCAAGTTTTAGAAGTGAGTCACTTCGAAAACCAAGAACCACAAATTCAGCTATAATTTCAAATAAAAGCTAAAGGACCAGAATAATCCATACAAAATTTTAAACCCAGAAGTTCCTCTTGCTTAAATTACTTTCACACTCCAATTTAAACTCAGAAACATTATGTTGCTGTCACATTTCTTTGTTCTCCTGAAGTATTTTTTAAAAATCTGTATATAGCTGACAAAAAATAGATGCCTGTCTGCCAGCAAGTTCTCTATTCATGTCTAACATACTGTAGAGTCGATGCAGAACACATGGTCTTAAAATACCCAAAGGCCTCCTCTCCTTTACTGGTTCACCGCAGCAGTATGTTTCTCCAGCATGTTTGCACTACCTCCAATACATGTCTTGCATAAGCACGAATTCCCTTTGAATGTTTAAGTCATGCAGTATTTTCACATGCTTTGATGCTGTGCATATGAGAATTATCATCTACATGTTGAAAGTGCACTTCCTGGTGCCTTCGTGTCGAATTTAATACCATTCAACTGACATCATTTTTAATTCTACCCAACAGAATGCCAATAATGTCTATGACAGAAGTTTGACATGTTTAGCTCTTCCAAATATAGAGTTAGTCTAGCAGCTAAATTGGAAATTTCTGGGTATATTTTGAAAACTAATTCAGCATGAAAATTATTAATGATTTAGAATTGTGAAAATACATCCGAAAGTGTTTTCTTTTTCCTTATTTCCATCTCCAGAAAGATCTGTTCTTCATGTCAAATAAATTTGCAAGGGGAAATCTGCATTCTGTTGTTGGGACACAAAGTATATAGTTCAATCCTAATGTAATTTTCTTCATTACAGATGAGACCCATTGGGCATGATGGCTACCATCCCACCTCTGTAGCTGAGTGGCTGGATTCCATTGAACTGGGCGACTACACCAAAGCCTTTCTAATTAATGGCTACACATCGATGGACCTGTTGAAAAAAATCTGGGAGGTTGAACTTATTAATGTAAGTTGGTCTCTTAGTGACACCTTAACTATTCAACCCTTGATAAATTAAATTTTATTTTTCTTTTTTTATAACTGTTTGGATATCCAATGGGGATTTATAGATACACCTTCTGGTTTAAATACCGATCTCCCTCAAGCTCCAGAGTCACTGTCTTTTGAAGTTTTAATGTGGGGGAACTAAGAGGTAAAGAGAGAACTCTCAGGGTATTTTGCATTATCCAAGAAAATCTTCCAAGCCTTTTTGTGTTTTCCTTTTTAGGAAATTTTTTCAGTTATAGGATATAGATATGATAATAAATAGGTTCCTATTCTGATCTTTGCTCATATTCACTGTTAAAGATTTAAATTATCATTTTTTTAGTTTTCTATCTCTATTATGTTTCCTTGTCTATTTCTTAATCACATACACAAATCCCACGCTCCAAGAGACTGCTTTTATTCTTACTAAACAGGTTGCTGTATTATCAAAATTTTATTTTCTGAAGCTAGTGTCTAATCTTATGTTGTCTCTGTTTTATTCGTACACTTAGCATAGATTTCATATAAAAACTGGCCAACATATGTTGCCGTATAGTCAAGCCCAAAGAGATCAACTAAATCTGCATAAATAGTTTTGATACTTTTCTCGTTGCATTTTTACTTTTGTTGTTTTCTAGCATAAATGAAGGAATTACATGAAAATATAAAATAGTCATGCATTTGAATTATATTTGGCATAGCACACATTTCTTTTTAACAGTAACAATGAGAAATCACTTAATTTTTTAAAAATAGTTTTAGTTTTATAGTAAATGACTGAATAAAACCGTCATTCATGAACTAAGAGATAAAATAAATACGTTTCTGCTAGTTCAAAAGTGCTCCGTTCTACTCTTATGTCACTTTCTTGCCAAAAGTCCAGGTTCTACACATTACATGCCACTGCTTATTTTAAATGATGGTTATTATTAGTAACTAATTATTCCTTCCTTTTAAAAGTCTTTCTGAAAAAAGAATGTCTTTTCTAGAACATCGTATTGAAGTTGTTCTTGAATCTAAAAGTCACATTACATAGACAAATTAATGTGATTCTATGGCCATAAGTAACTCTTTCTTAACTTTTTGCTGCTTATGCCCTCACAAAAGCTATCATTATTTCAGAAGAGACTCATTGTCTAACATAAAGCCTTTGGTTAGTTTCATTCAGTCTGTATGAAACTAACTGTATGGAACTAACTGAAACTGTATTGCCTTTTGGCCTCATCAGGCTAAGATTTCAATTCTCTGTCAAGAACTTGGTGCTCATAGATATTTGTTAAAGGGGTACCTTCCATACATCAACCAAACAAGCTTCCAACTTAAGTTGCATCCCAGTTAATGAGTTAACGGAATAGCTTGAAAAATATCCCTATGTAACATTTTCTGAATCACACTGCTACCCATTGAAGAATTAATATTTATAATAGGTAGCGCATGAATCATTCACCTAGCTAGCATTAGCAATAATCTCCCATTGTAAAGAATGGATTTCAACAGGACTCGATTATATGTTTTCACTGAAGTAAGGATCACTTACAATGTGAGGCTCTATGTCTCTCAAAATCCAAAGCCCTGAACTAGTGTTTAAGATGTAAGCTTGGGCACTCACTTTCCCCAGTGCTGGGGGTACCTGTGGCCTAGAGATCCTTGTTTAGTGACTGTAGCCAGACCTTGTAGACCGCTGCAGTGACTATGGGGATGATGGCCCCTGGCTTTACTGCCAGGGCTTAGGGACTGATCCAACACCACCCATGAGGCCAATCAGCCTTGAGCTGAGACAGAAAATTGGTCTTTTCCACCCATGTTGGCTCTTAACAGTTTTCTGGCTTCAATACAGGGAGAAGTGCCTGTCACAAGCATTGTGTCAAAATTTGAAAACATAGTCACTATCTCTTAGACCTTGAGGCCAAAATCCTCTGGCCTGGAGCATGCCACCTGTGTCTACCACTAACTCTGTATATTTTCCTTAAAGTAAGCTGATTGAATTTAATTTTCCGTGTGACAACTTTATGGGCAAGTTCACACTCTTGATGGTGAGGATTTGCATGTCATTTAACTCAGCAGATTAATTTTGTCCATGTTAATTATGGACAAAAGTTGATCTGAACCTTCAGACTTGGAAATCAGAAAACAAAATTTGTATGCCCAGTAGAACTGGGTAGTTCATGTGATGGTTTTGGGTTACTGGGTTTTAAAATAAGAAAAAGGCAAAATGTGTGCATGCCTTTTGGCTCACAAAGATTTTGAATGATCTCAAATTCAAGACTTTTGTTTATCCCAGCTAATGAGAGAGATACCCAAATATGAAGTAGTCTCATATAATATATGGGCTGAATAATCCTATACTAAGAACGCATAATTTGCTGTTTTCTGGCCTAAAAGGGACTGTGCAGTCACCTTGATTTAGAGCAAAGCCTTTTAGGGAAGTTCACATCCTGAATCATTGTAATGAGTCGCTAGTTTTAAGGGAACCAGATTGCTCCAGTAACTGTTGTTCTATGTTAAGTGAAAAGAGAAGAGCAAGTGTAGCCTGCATTTGATACAAAGGTCGGCTGGTGGAGGGGAAGAGAATGGAGGATGAGGAGATAGGCTGCTGATATGATTACAGATAACTTCAGCATCAGTGGTTGTTTTTTAAATACCTTTGGGTAGCATTAAATAAGATTGCTAAGGTAGCAATATCCACATGTGTCCCATGAAAATTATTTCACATGCCCCATGAAAATAATCTGGCATTATTTTTCCAACAGTAAATTGATTAGAAAATCATTTGCTTCTTGCCTAATAGCTTTGGAAACTATATTTACATGACTGTTTAATTTAGGACTGTCAGGTTTTATTCTTTCAATGTTGTGGATTTAATTTGCAGCTTTCCCAGGAAAGCTAACCACTTGGAGATGTGCTAAGAGATTTTCAAAGGAAACTTTCTAATTTTTCATTAATTCTTGAGTAATGTGACTTTATTTGCTTTAAATGCAGTCGAGCTATCATCCTATGAATATCAGTAATGTGACTTTATTTGCTTTAAATGCAGTCGAGCTATCATCCTATGAATATCAGATTTAGACTTCCTTTGATGTTTTTATTTCATGATCAGCATTATAAAGTCACACTTCTATCTACCCCACTCTCATTGCTAAAGTTGCAATAACTTTATTTCCTAATTTTTTTTGCATTCTATGAGAGTGTGTGTGTGTGTGTGTGGTGTGGTGTGTGTGTGTGTGTGTGTGTGTGTACATATTGAATAAAGGTAAATGGTAACTTATGCTCATAACCAAGAAGAATAATTACTAAATTCACAAATTGCAGGGGAGGAATAGGAGGATGAATATTCTAATTCCATTTTCAAACCAATTATTTTAAGTAAAAGGTTATGCTTTCACCACGGGACATAATAAATGAGAAATATTCATATTTCCACACCAGGGAGGCTACATCAGTCAACACTTCAAATATTAACAACTTTAATCAAAGCCGAAGGCTTCAACTAAATGACTGGATGTGAGTATTCAAGTGTGGGCAAACTTTACAAATTATCTGTGGATTTAAGCATTGCATTTATACTTACGTACAGTACAGCTGGCTCCCCACAACCCTTCAGGACAGCTAGATACCAGCCCTGAACTTTAGACTTTTCCAGGCATATATCAGGTAAAGCTTCTGGACTCTACCAACTCCAACCCCTGCATCCAAATTGCAAGCTGTTCCAGGGATTCTCTTGAAACTTCTCTCAGCCAGCCCAAGTTTGGGGAAAAGCACCCTGACATATGTCCTCATATAGGATGGACAGTCTCCCAAATAAATACACACTTAACATTAATTTCTAGTCCTTTCATATATGTTCTGGAAGGTGGTGATGGTCTAGGTCTGACATTATTATTTCTACTACCTTTCAGCATCTTTTGCATGTCCACACTTATTATACTACTCTCAACTTTCGAGCTTTGACCTAAACTAAAATAGAATTATACTACAATAAAATGCATTTAATCACTAAAATGCCATTGAAAATAATATAGCTCTTATTTTGCATGTAAAGTAATTTACATTCTTGCAGTGTCTCCAGGTCAATATTACAGAACAGGTATTATTAAAGTATTGATATCAGAAATAGTAAAACACACACAATAAACAAGGGATTTTGGCCTGAAGAGACAGTTTTGAATGCTCTGCAACAAATGAACTTCAGAAAGCACTGAAACTCTCCGATTATAGCCATTTATGATCTATCTCTGTGCAGAAAGGAAAATTGTGTTCTAATTACCCAGAAATTGCTACCTTAAAATTTTTTATTTTAGTAGACATCTGTTCATTCACCCTTCTCATGATTAAAATTAAAACATTCCAAATTTCCTCTGAAGAAGCCACCTCCATCTCTTCCCTATTCCATGCCTGAACATATGGCCTGGATCTTCAGAGCCAAGTTCAGCATTCCAGTCTCTGCCTCCACCCCTATGGGCTACAAAGTATTCTTCATCAGGACCAACTACCAGTGCAAAATGAAAATATAGGGCCCCTTGTTCAAAAAGTATTAAAAATTTTTAGCCAGTAACATCAAAACATTAAAGCTAGCACAAGGCCCTTCTATTTGCAGGACCTTGTGTAACCCACACAGGTCACACACCCTTGAAGCCAACCAAGCTCTTCATTCCTTTGTGTATTTCTATCTGGTGTCATTTTCCTTCTACCTGAAGGACTGTCTTTGACATTATTCTGTAGTGCGAGGCTGCTAGTGATAAATTTTCACAACTTTTGTATGTCTGAAAAATACTTCATTTTGCCTTCATTTATGAAACATAGTTTTGCTGGGTATAGAATTCTAAGGTAACAGTACTTTAAAGATACTGATCCACCAGCCTCTCTTCTGCATTATTTATAACAAGAAACTTGCTGTGTGTGAGTTCCCCTTCCCGGTCTCCAAGTGATCTTCTGTTCAGGTCCACCTATGAGTAGACAACATTCGGCGTTTGTTTTGTGTTC